CTGGTAGCGTGTAAGACTGGATGATCCCCCGACCCTGACAGAACGTCTCCAGGCGAGTGGAAGAAAACTCACCACCACGGTCCCGAGTGCAGGCGGAGCCCACGTAGACCCTGGGTGCCACCCCTTGCTAGTAGCCACGGCTCGAGGACGGTAGGCACGTCGGCCTTCCGTCGATAAGGGGAAAACCGTGGTGTAGCGGGAGTAGTCGTCCACCACAATCAGGAAGTAGCGCACCTGACGTGGGCCAAGGACCGGGGAGGGGCCCCAGACGTCCAAGTGCAGGGTATGTAAGGGAGCCGTGGTGGGGGGGAACGAGAAGGAGTGAGGGGCAGCGCGCTGCCGACCCTCGACGCAAGGAGTGCACGGCAGCGCAGGCGAGCGGGGGAGCGGAGCGAGCGACTATGGGAGACGTGAGACCAGACGGTGACGTACCATCCTACTAAGACGCGGGAAGAACGGGTGCCCTAGACGGTGGTGCCAGAGGACCGACGGGTGGGTGAGTGACCAACAGTCGCACGACACAGCAGCTACCTGACCTGACCTGACCTGACCTGATCTGACTTTACCCGGTGTGGTAGGACCTAGTGTGTAACGAGTACAGACCAGAGCCTGGCTCCCTGTGAAAAGTGGCCAGTGGCGCCCCAGTGGCACCGTATGTGCAGTAGGCAACAGGCACGTCCAGAGGGAAAGTGGTGACAACTCCGAGGTCGTGGAGGTGACTGACACCCACCAAGTTCCTAGAGAACGAGGGGGTGTAGTAACCTGTGAGAAACCCAGAGGGAGCCGCCGGACACGGGAGAGTGGTGGTGCTGTGGGCAACTACATATCCCACGGAGGGGTCAGCTAAGGCGACAGTGACTGGAGTGTGCAGTGGCGTGAGGTCGGTGCAGTCGCGAAAGAAATAGCTGGACGCTCCAGAGTCTAGGGAGAAGGAAAGCTGTGCAGTCGGTGAGGTCGCACCCGAGCCAGCGACAAAGGCTGGTACTAGACTAGTGGTAGCTGCAGCTTCCACACTAAAAACCTCTGAGGCGCCTGGACTGGAAACTACACACGCACCAAGACTGGAAACACAAGTCTCAATAGCAACTGCAGCTCTCACGTACCGGTGTGTGTACTCGCCGAGTCCGACAGGGCCCCGCGGTAGAGGCTGCCGCAGGCGCTGCTGCTGGACCCGCCACTGCTGCTGCTGCGGCCACCGGTGCTGTTACCTCTGCTGCTGCTGCGGCCACTGCTGCTGTTGCCGCTGTCGCCACTTCAGAATGGCACGCTAGTACGGGGGTAGGGGCCAGTCGAGGCGCCAGTACTAGTGGTTGGTGTCAATGAGTGCGGTCGGGTACGGTATGTTGCGTTCTAGTGCGATGGAAAGCGGTTACAAATCGGTCAGATGCAATTGGGAGCATTTTTGTGTGGTCTAGTGCGGTGGGGAGCGGTCATGTGCGGTGGGGACCAGTTTAGTGCGGTGGGAAGCGGTCTAGGGCGGTGGGAAGCGGTCTAGGCTGAACGTAGCGAAGACACCGGCGGCTGATGCTGGCGCTGGCTGCTGCTGCAGGCGCTAGCTGCTGTAGCTGGCGCTGGCTGTTGTTGTTGGCGCTGGCTGCTACTGCTGATCATTCTAGCGCTAGGGGGGGCGACGGGCTAGGGCTAGGGTTACGGGCGAGGGACGGGCGACGGGCGCGACTGGCTCTAAGGCGACGGGCGACGGGCGAGACGGGCGAGGGCTAGGGTTACGGGCGAGGGACGGGCGACGGGCGCGACAGGCTCTAAGGCGACGGGCGACGGGCGCGACGGGCGATGGGCGCGATGGGCTAGGGCTAGGGCTAGGGCGAGGGACGGGCGACGGGCGCGACGGGCTCTAAGGCGATGGGCGACGGGCGATAGGCGAATGGGAGGCCCGCGCCGCGGGCCGCGCTACGGGATGAACGGGAGGCCCGCGGGGGCGGACCGCACTACGGACGGACGAAGGGCCCGCGGGGGGCCGCACTATGGGACGAACAAGGGCCAGTGGGGCTGCGCTACGGGACGGACGAGAGCGCCCACGGGGGCCGCTCTAAGGGACGAACGGGAGGCCCAAAGGAGGGGGGGAGGGCGCTCACGGACGAACGAAGAGCCCGCGGGGGCCGCGCTACGGGACGAACGGGAGGCCCACGGGGGGGGCGCGCTACGGACGGACGAAGGGCCCGCGGGGGGCCGCGCTACGGGACGAACGAAGGGCCGTGAGGGGCCGCGCTACGGGACGAACGAGGGGTCCGCGAGGGCGTTGCGAAGGCACGAACAGGGGGGTTGGGGGGGGGGGGGGGAGGGGGGGGGGGGGGGGGGGGGTGCGTACGAAAGAACTGGACGCGTCGGCCTGCGGGGCGCATCGGGGCGTCGGGCTGCGAGGCGCTTACGAGCTACGAGCGACGGGCGGCGGTAGGCCCATAGGAATGAAACCAGCTCTATACCATGTCAACGAGTGTACGGAATACTGAATGAGTAGAAACAAGCAGTACAAGGGGGCATATAGCAAACCCTAAGGGACTTATACCCTCTACATCATAATTCAGTGTACCACCTAGACAAAACTAACAAACTATAACAATTATAGTTTGACAAGGACATCACTACATGCCCCGCTATCTTGGTCGCCTCACGCATACGCACATGTGGGCCCGTCCTCATCGTGGAATGGAGTAGTAGGATCAGGCAAACCCATCTCTCTCCGACTATAAGACACGTGCGCCTGCCCGCACGATCAGATCTTTATGTACCACACGCGCACTCACCAAGGCCGCAAATACCATTTCATTATACGGCGGGAGCTAGCAGGCCCTGCGCTTCGGGTTAGGGTCGCCTTGAAATCCGTGCTTCATCTGCAGGTACGGTGCCGTGGACATGGGGTGCGTCCTCATGGCTCTACGTTGTCACAGCACGTCCGCAATCGCCCGTCCGTTCGGTCCGCACGGAGTTCGCCATAACGCCCTACAGGCCCGGTGTGAGGGGCAACGCTTGTTCGCTGGATGCCCGCGTCGGCGGCTGCAGCGCGTCTCGTTTGGCCTTCCCGCTGGGGCCCCGCGGAGTGGCCGTACCCGACGGTGACCGTACATGCTGCGACGCCGACACCCGCGTTGCGATGGCACAGCTTCGGTGCGTTATGTCAAACAATATTGTTTATATGTTTGGTAGGCTAGGTTGAATATGTTGATGGGAGTTGGCCCCGCCCTCGCTTGGGCGAGGCCGAGTTCGTGGTCGGGTGCGCGGGAAGCGCGGCCAACAGCTTCTGTGGTCGACGCCAACTTCCGCGAGCAGGTCGACGGAGTTTGTCGACCTGCTGGGATCGCGATGAAGTTGTCGAGGAGGGAGTTCGACGGCGGTCCTTGACCGGGGTAGTCGACGAGCCCGACGAGGAGTACGGGTCGACGAGCCCGTAGAAAAGTGCTTGGTCGACGAGCCCGTCGAGGGACGCTGATCGACCAGCCCGTCGAACGGAGCTGCTCGACGGCGAAGTCTGGCAGGTGTGCGAGTTTCGCCGTCGGAGGCATTGGCGAAGTCGACCTGTGGGCTGGTATCCCGAGGTCGACGTTGAGCATCTGGCGCAATAGTCGGCACATGGCCAACCCGGCATCTGCGCGACAGGCGGGGCGAGGAACGATGTGCTCGACCGCCTATAAGCACATGCGATGTAGGTGCGCGTATGCGCTATTGTCATCTGCGCTTGCAACGTTGGCTAGCCGCTCTATTGCAGCATTTGCAAACCGAGCAGATGCAGCGCAGGTAGGTCGCCGACTTGCACAGTTGGCAAGCTGCCACCCAGCTGCGTTGGCAGACCGTCGACTTGATCTACTGGCAGGTCGCCCTGTTGCTGCGCTGGAGGTCGACCTGCCTAGTCGCTAGGCTGCTAAGTCCCAAATATAGTCACCATTGCCATTGCTATCATTATGTAATCCAAGTTTTGCTAGTGAAACTCTTGCCAGATTGCTTTGTGAACACACCCCAGTCCGCCATATTTTCAACACCCGAACCGTTTTTTCATAGTCACCCTGAGCGTTCTTTCGTTTAGTGGGGACAGACACCTAGATACTATGGGGCTATTGATATACAACCAGGAGGCATTTGAATCTAACGAAACCCACACTTAGTGATATGAGAGAAAGAACTGATTGGAATTGACAAAGTTTCTGCTTACCGTATCCAGCAAAGGAAATGCGTGAATCTACCCCTACTAATTCTAGGGTTTCCCTCATGAACTAGCTGGACCCATGGTAGGTAGTTCAGGCGTCGAGGGTGGCGGCGTCGAGGGTGGCGGCGTCGAGGGTGGCGGCGTCGAGGGTGGCGGCGTCGAGGGTGGCGGCGTCGAGGGTGGCCCCCGTTGTCACGCTGTCAAGTCCTCCCCCTTCATCGTCTATGGCTCCGGGCTCCGGCAAAGGCGTGGCTGTTTACTTGCCTGATTGAGACGGTTAGCTCGTGCTTGGAGCAAACAGGTCGCGGATGTCGCCGGTATCGCGGCTGGCCCGTAGGCGCTGGCCTCCGAGTTCGCCGATGTTTTGCCAGGTCCCGGGTTTCCCTGCCAAGTTCAGATCTGGTTGAAAGGTCGCGGATTTGCAAGGTGCAAATAATTGTAAAGCAGTAAGAGATTAGTCTCCACCATCTAAACCTAGTCATTTCATTTGTAATATTTTCATTGGAATCTCAAAAGCGAAACAGTGTACATGAGTGGAGACGCGGGGTATCGATCCCCGTACCTATCGCATGCAAAGCAATCGCTCTACCATGTGAGCTACACCCCCATATGTGTTATCAGGACAATCATATTTCAGTAACTTACTCTAAGATCTTCCGTCCCTGATTTGCCAAATTTCTGTTTCACGATGCCGAAAGCGATGGGATCGCGGTCCGCGGGCCAGTGGATGATCATGGGACGCACACACGCACGCCATGCACCATCTCGTCGCCTGCCACTTTCGCTCGCGGCATTCGTCGTGGCGACGATGCTTTGCGACTGGCCGTGCGATTCGTCCAGCAAGATGGCATCGACGGTCGTGAGCGCTATGGAAGGGGCGGCGGGAATGGAGCACGCCATGTCGTTGTATCGGGTGAGACAACAGCGGGCGTGCGCGCAGGCAGCCGCCACTGCTCTTGCATCCAGCAGCGCCCCTCGGTACCGCTGTGAACCGCACTCGCTTCCTCCCTCCGCCACAGCCTTCCACGAACTGGAAGCGCCCTGCCCACCGTGTCGACCGTTCATGGCCCGCCCACCGTCGCCCTCTCGCCTTCTGCTGCCGCCCCTCAACCCCACTCCTCCGCTTTCTTATTCTCGCCGCCGTATACTCTCGATCCTTTGCCCCGCTCCCTCCTTGCTCACTGTTCCTCCCCATTCCCCTTGCTCTCTCCCTTCCCATTCGTCCCCCTCCCCCCTCCCCGCCCCCATCCCCCCCATTCATCCCCCTTCCCCCCCCCCGACCCCCAAACACTCCCGCAGGCCTGGGCGGACGCCTACGGGCTCTCCCCCGACTCGCTGCTTCCGCCCTCCCCCCTCTCCCTTCCGCCCTCCCTTCCCCCCGCCCCTCATCTCGAGGACTGCGCCGCGCTCACAGCGCTGCGCCAGCATGCGGAGCAGCGGGGGCAAGGGGGGGAGCCGCCAGCATGGGCGGAGCCACAGCCTGTTCAAGGAGTGCGAGGGGCGCAGGGGGAAGGGGAAGCGGGGGCGGCGTGCTGCAGGCGCGCAGCCTCTGGGGAAGCGAGCTGCGAGTTCAAGGCGTCAGTGAGAGTAGGCGCTGCAGCAAACGCCCCCGCCTCTCCTTCCCCTGCTGCATGCTGCACGTGTGTGCCCCAGCCGCCCTGGGTGCGTGTGTGGTGCGTGGTGGGTTGGGGATGGGTGGGTGGGTGGGTAAGCGGGTGGGTGGGTGGGTGGGTGGGTGGGTGGGTAAGCGGGTGGGTGGGTGGGTGGGTGGGTGGGTGGGTGGGTGGGTGGGTGGGTGGGTGGGTGGGTGGGTGGGTGGGTGGGTGGGTGGGTGGGTGGGTGGGTGGGTGGGTGGGTGGGTGGGTGGGTGGGTGGGTGGGTCACTGAGGCTGAGTGTGCCTTGTGTCGCCCTCTGCTACACCCCAGCATCTGCACTTTCGCCTCACACTCACTCGTGAGTCCACCTGTGACTCCCTTCTTCCATTCTCCCTTTTCAATCATTCCTCTCTTCCACACACCCCTGCTTTCCATAGCTGCACTGCACCGTGCTGTCCCCCCTGTCTCCTGCTCGCTTTGCCAGTTGGGAGGGGAGGCGAGACAGGGAGAATGTATCATGGTATGGAGCGGGGCAGTGCAGAGGGGTGTGTGCAATTTCAGCTCTTCGCTCCTCTTCTCATCTTCTGCTTTTCCCCTCGTCTCCCCGTCTTCTTGTGTCCTCATACCCTCATGTCTTCGTGTCCGCCATCATTGGCCGGGGCGTCACATGTGCAGGTGCGAGGGGCGGACAGTGACAATCTGGCGCTAACCAGAGTGGTGCAGAGGGATGTGTGGGAGTGGCAGTTCCCCCCCTCCTGTGCCAACCGCCGCCTGCTGGTGGTGCCATGGCCCGAGGACCAATGGCATGGCATGGGATGGGATGGGATGATGAGGCATGGCATGGCATGGGATGATGAGGCATGGCATGGCATGGGATGATGAGGCATGGCATGGCATGGGATGATGAGGCATGGCATGGCATGGGATGATGAGGCATGGCATGGCATGGGATGATGAGGCATGGCATGGCATGGGATGATGAGGCATGGCATGGCATGGGATGATGAGGCATGGCATGGCATGGGATGATGAGGCATGGCATGGCATGGGATGATGAGGCATGGCATGGCATGGGATGATGAGGCATGGCATGGCATGGGATGATGAGGCATGGCATGGCATGGGATGATGAGGCATGGCATGGCATGGGATGATGAGGCATGGCATGGCATGGGATGATGAGGCATGGCATGGCATGGGATGATGAGGCATGGCATGGCATGGGATGATGAGGCATGGCATGGCATGGGATGATGAGGCATGGCATGGCATGGGATGATGAGGCATGGCATGGCATGGGATGATGAGGCATGGCATGGCATGGGATGATGAGGCATGGCATGGCATGGGATGATGAGGCATGGCATGGCATGGGATGATGAGGCATGGCATGGCATGGGATGATGAGGCATGGAATGGCATGACGTGCACCACTGGGGGGAGCCACTACTGATGCTCGCGGGCAGTACACAAGGCAACAGTGTGCCCCTCCCTCTGCTGCTTATGCTATCGAATGCGCTGAGGGCCTGTGTCCCGCCCCTCCTTGAGACGCCCAAACTCCAGTGCTTGGGCTCGGTCCCTCTCATGATTCCTATTGTCTCACTCACCTGCCTCTGTTGAAACCACCTGGGATTCACCTGGGCGTCAGGTGCACATCATGGCAGTGCTGCTGAGCGTGGCCCTCTCCTCCAATCGCATCCTCGTGCCGCTGCCCGCCTCCTATGGCCGCGCCAACTCCTCCCACTGCCACGGTCAGTCACCCATTGCCATGGTCAGTCACCCATTGCCATGGTCAGTCACCCGCCCCACGGTCAGTCACTTGCCCTTGTGCTCGCACTCACACCCCACCACCCGCACACTACCAGCCCCACACACTGCCCCGCCCTACGGTCAGTCGACCTGGGCTAGCCCAGCCTAGGCGTACATCTCCCTCACTCCACCTTGTCGCTTCCATCCTTGCCCGACCCCACCCTAACCTTCCCCCCTCACCATCCCTTCTTTCCTTGCTTCAGCTCGGTGTGGTGTGCTCTCACTACACCTGCTACCACTGTGTCATCAACTCTCATTTCGCCTCTCTAGCCTTCCAAGTATTGCTTGTGCTGCTGTGCTACCTGTGCTAAGGGCAACTCAGTGCATGTAGTGCCACATCATTTGTTGTTCAAACGAATCCACAACAACATCGAGCTTTTCAGTTAAGCTACCTAGTTTGTCGCACAGCATGGAGCAATGGCATGTAACACTGTTGATCACTTCATGATGTCAAGTTTCAACTCGCATCCTCACTTGATGCAGAGCTACATCGGAATCCAGACATTGTTCACAAAAAGGTTGAATGGAGGTCTTCACATTCAAACTCGTGTTCCTTGCTGCAGGTGTACTCAGTCCTGGCACCGCACTACCTACCTACATGCCCAACAATGCCTCAAGTCTACCACCCACACCTCTCCAACTGCCATCAACCGCCCTCACCTTTCCTCCCATCCGCAGGCATGTTCAATGCTATGCCCCACACGCAACAGACACCTCTCAATTTCCACCGCTCATCCCCCTCCTTCCCTCCCCACCAGCCATGGGCCATGGCAGCTCCTGGTCCTGCTTCTTTGCCCCCATCACCTCCCCACTCTGCTCCCAAGAGGTCGCCCTCGCCCTCTTGGCCAATCAGCTGCCGCCATGTGTCGCCCCAGTGGAGGGCTACAGGGCGGCAGCGGCAGCGGCGGAGAGGGTGGTGTGTGTGAACACGTCGGGCCTCAACGACCTCAAGTTCGAAGCCTCTGCTGCCGGGTCAGTGGTAGAGCAGTCTTGTACGGGTGTGGATGGGTAGAGTGTGGTTGGATGTGGGGGCAGCAGCAGCAGCAGGTGCAGGTGCCGGTGTGGGGCTTGTCTGCTTCATCTCTGTGTTTTGAGGAGTCTTGGGCATTCCAGAGCGGGCAGGTGGGAGGCACAGCAGTGAGCTGAGATGCTGCCTCACCCGCCTTGTCGCTGCCACGTGGCAGCTGTACTGGCAGCAGAGCCCTTGATGCTCCTTTCCTGTTTGAGCGCCTGCCGTGCTTCTCATGCGCCCTTCGTTCCTCCATGTGTGTTGGAAACTCGAATGGTATGGCATTCGCCATCACGTTGGCATTCATGCATCGTTATCCCCGCATGGCATGGCATGGCATGGCATGGCACGGCATGGCATGGCACGGGCATGGCATGGCACAGCATGGCATGTTACGGCATGACATGGCACGGCATGGCATGGCACGGCATGGCATGGCATGGCATGGCATGGCATGGCATGGCATGGCATGGCATGGCATGGCATGGCATGGCATGGCATGGCATGGCATGGCAGGCTGTGGGGCGAGGCATATGGCAAGGACCCCGATGTGGTGGAGCAGCGAGGGGAGGTGCAGCTGGAGGGCACGGAGCATAAGAAGGTGGGTGGGAGAGGGACCAGAGGGTGAGCGGGGAGCGTGGTGCACATGTGTCTCCGCAAGCAGAATACACCACACAACTTTCCCGCAAGAGCCTTGCACCTCAATCTCACTAAGGCATGCCATGCCATGCCCTGCCATGCCCTCACCTCGTTCATTTCTCCGGAATGCCTCTGTGCCCAACCTGCACCTGTTTCTTGCCGTGTGCTTTTCAACGGTTGCACTAGCGGCTGCAGTCATGAGGTATGAGACCCGCTCCCACTCCTCTTTTCTCATTCTGTTCCCTTCTTACGCTGCAGTTACACTGGTGGCGGGCGCAGGCGGTGCGCTTCATGCTGAGGTGGCCATCAGCCCATCTCTGCCACGTCATCAACCAACAGAGACACACCGCCTACGGCATGCACGTGGCCAATCGCATCGCTCGGCAAGCAGAGCTTCACTCACAGCTGCAGCAGTCACTGCCACCTCTGCCCCCACCCACTGACTCAAACGCTCCCAGTGCCGCCGCTGCTGCTGAGGCCAGCGCCATGGCTGCAGCAGTTGCAGCCGCAGCAGCAGCTAGGTTTGCTGGTGAACGTTCCTCAGATTCCACTGCTGCCGCTGCTGCTGCTGCTGCTGCTGCAGGTGGTGGTGGTGCGAGTGGGTCATCGCCAGCATCGCTGGCATGTGAGCCGTACATGGTGCGGCCGATCGTGAGCGTGCATGTGAGGCAGAGCGACAAGCAGGTGGAGATGGGCGTGTGGTCCTTCGCCGCCCACATGCTGTTTGCCGCCCGCCTGCAGCGCACCCTCGTGGACCTCAAGCACGTGTGGCTCTCCACTGAAATGCAGGCAAGTCAGCACGTCAAGGCACCGCTGCCCATGTGCTGTTTGCCGTTCCCACTCCTCCACTCCCTCGCACCCTCCCTTCCTCTCTCCTTCCATTCTTGCTTCCCTCGTTCCACCCTGCTTTTCTTCCTCCTCTCCCTCACTGCCTTCCTCTCTCCCTCCTGCCTGTCTGTTTCGTGCTCTGCCTCCCTCCCTGCCTCGCACTCTCCCTCCCTCACTCCCTCCCTCTGCCCGCGAGTGGTGAGCGCGGGGCCACCTATCTAATGGTTGCTTTTCCCACTCACCACGGGCTGCATGCCAATTCCTTCACTGCGCTTGCTGCACTCAGTGCCCAGCGAAGCCACCCCCTGCTCTCATTGCGCCCACCTTCTCCTCACACCTCTCTGCACCTCCACATGTATAACACCCTGCCCCCACTCTCCCTCACGCACCCTGCCCCTCCCCCACCCTTCCCCCCACCACCTGCAGTCGGTGATCAACAAGGCGGGCCACACACACAAGTGCTCGGGTCCCTGGACGTTCCTCTGCGCCACCAACGGCCAACGGGGGTGTGCCAGAGAGCGCCCTGGGCCAGCACACGCGTACGCTGCGCTGCACGCGCCTGTCCTCACCCATCCCTCTCCGCCCTCCCCCCGCCACCACGGTGCAGTCAGTGATCAACGAGGCGGCCACGCCCCTGTATGCGGGCTGGAACTTCCTCTACGCCGCCAACGGCCGCCTGCCAGAGGGCGCCCTCGACCCGCACGAGTACGACGCGCTGCAGTCGCCCGCTGCCAGCCTGGCGAGTGCGTTGATCGCAGCGCAGTGCGACTCCTTTATCGGGTCGCTGGGGTCCAACTGGAGCCGCCTCATCAACGAGCTCAGAGCCACCAGTGGGCGGCTGTACAGTGGATTCGTGGCCATGAACCTGGGCGAGTGGTGATGCCGTTAACATTGGGAAGTGTGACACCCTGCCAGGGCTGATTTTATCAGTGTAAATCACCCTGATACACTGACTATCAGGGTGGTTTTTTGTGGTCACACTGATGCCGTAGGGTAATTTTTCCAGGAGCTTAGTTTTTCCTGATATGCCTGGGTTTACGTTTTAGGCACACTTTGGCCTTAGTGTAACCGTTCTTCTTAGTGAGTTTTACCCTGAAGCGAGTACCACACACCCCCCCCTCATGAAGCGAGTACCACACACCCCCCCAGAATTTCCAAAATAGCAAGAACCCTGATGAATAAGAATTTCCAAAAGGGGTCACACTGATAATCGGGAATTTGCATACCGTAGGTGCTGCACTGATCACAAGGGTTGCTCAAAACCAATAATTAGCCCTGCACCCTGCCCCTTATAACAATGGTTAATATGAGTCAATTTAAAAGGTACGGTATTGTTAGAATCCTAGGCCAAGTTAGGGCTTAGGTTTTAGGAAGGAGAAATGGAAGAAGAGGTGGTTGCACTAGCAGGCAGAGGGGATACAAGTATGAAACCCTAACAGGGCTGTACTCACTACTGAGTACCCCACTGCAGACTAGACAATATAACATTCTGACACACCCCCATAGGCAAAGTGGGGTATAATCAGCACAACAAGCAGTCATAGAGCAAGTTCACAAATTAGCCCTAGTGGCAGACACAGCAGAGGGCAAGTGAGGAGGAGGAGGAAACTGGAGAGGAGAGGAGGTGGGCGGTCGTTGAAGCTGCTGGCACTGGTCGCAAACGGCGTAACTGGCTCTGCTCGCCAGCAAGAGCAACTGACCCTCTGGGGACCGGAGCAATGGGTAACCGGAGTAACTGGCTCGTTCGCCGGCAAGAGCAACTGACCCACGGGCCTCTGACGCAACGGTCTCACGTGCGACTAGAGCTGCGCACTTCACGGCGGCCACCCGCCCTCACCCCCCTCGTATTGTCCCACCCCCCCCCCGTGTCACACCCCTCGGCCCTAGCGCCACTCCCAAGTCTCCCCCACACCCTCCCCCCCTTAGCGGCAGCTGCAGCAGTGGGAGACGGAGGAGGAGGAGCAGGGGACGGCTCACACACCCGCCACCCCCATACCCGCCACCCCCATAGCTGCACGCGCAGGAGGGAGAGGAAGGAGAAAGGGGAGGGGCGGGGGGGAAGCAGCCCCGCGGCGCACGGGGTCAAAGGGGGGGCGCGCGGGTCCCCGGGGGCGCCGCGACAGGCGACGGGGGACGGCGCGCGGGTCCCCAGGGGCGCCGCGACGGGCGACGGGGGGGCGGCGCGCGGGATAAAAGGGCTTGTTAAGTAGCGGGTCAGTGCGCCCATAACCCCCCAGGCCAACATGCCTGTAACCCTTCCCTAGGATCAATCGGGGATCACCAGTGGACCTCTGACACCCCCCCGCACTGGGATGCCCGAAGTGCACACACTGGGATTCGAACCCGAGACCTTCGCTCTGATACCATGTCAGAATCCCAACCACTAGACCACTGGGATAAAAGGGCTTGTTAAGTAGAGGGTCAGTGCGCCCATAACCCCCCAGGCCAACATGCCTGTAACCCTTCCCTAGGATCAATCGAGGATCACCAGTGGACCTCTGACACCCGGGGGCACCGCGACAGGCGACGGGGGACGGCGCGCGGGTCCCCAGGGGCGCCGCGACGGGCGACGGGGGGGCGGCGCGCGGGTCCCCGGGGGCGCCGCGACGGGCGACGGGGGCTGCGCGCGGGTCCCCGGGGGTTCCGCGACGGACGACGGGGACGGCGCGACAGTCCCCGAGGGCGCCGCGACGGACGACGGGGGCGGCGCGCGGGTCCCCGGGGGTGCCGCGACGAACGACGGGGGCGGCGCGCTGGTCCTCGGGGGCGCCGCGACAGGCGACGGGGGGGCGGCGCGCGGGTCCCTGGGGGTGCCGCGACGGACGATGGGGCGTGAAACCGCCGCGCACGCCCGGGGCGCGCGGCGGGCAGGAAACCGCCACGCGCCCCGAGCGCGTGGCGGGCAGAAAACCGCCACGCGCCTCGAGCGCGTGGCGGGAAGAAAAAACGTCACGCGCCACGGGGCGCGCGACAGACAGTACAGCAGCAGAAGCAGGTGGGCCCACAGGCCAGGAGCGTAGTCGCTCTGATAGCATGTTAGGATCCTAGGCCAAGTTAGGGCTTAGGTTTTAAGAAGGAGAAATGGAAGAAGAGGTGGTTGCACTAGCAGGCAGAGGGGATACAAGTATGAAACCCTAACAGGGCTGTACTCACTACTGAGTACCCCACTGCAGACTAGACGATATAACATTCTGACTGGTATCCTATTTATATTACTTTCATCTTCTGGATAGTAGACATACGTTATGTCTTAACTCACCCTGCTGAGATAAGGGGTGTTTCTCTCGTACAGGGAAAATTGGGTTTCATATAAATTATCTCAACTTTACAAGATAACCAATATTGTTATAACTGAAGGATCGTAGTGGACAGGATAAGTCTGCTAAGTTAAGGAAAGACACTGAAGTCTCTGAATGACCTTGTCAATAAGATTGAAAGAGAACAAGATGAATAAAGGATAGTGATACAAGGAATAAATAGCCATCCTAGCTAGCCATGTACTCTAAGGGGTACATTCCCTTATTAACTGAATTGCATTGCTACAGTAACCACGACTATTGCTATTCTTGACAGTTACCATGTTGCATTGCGTAACTACCAAGTGCGGTTACTGGGCAGTCAAGGGTCACGACCGTTGACTGTCTTCGACTGTTGACCTTCGGGTGACCCTCGACCTTCCGTATGCTCTATATGAGCTATTGCGATACTGATACAGGCGCGTTGCTTCGTTATGAAGTGACGCGCGAGTGGAGAGCCTTCGAGAATGTTACGATAACCTTTCGGTTATTCCAACACTCCCCTTCATTCCTGAAGGTGAGCCACGTGGGATTTCTTCAAGATCCCGCAGAGGTCGGTGCAGTGCTGTAACTTCTGACGTGGCAACTTCTTGGTCAAGAAGTCTGCTGCCATGTCACCGGTTGGGCAATATGTGAGTTTGACCTTGCCCTTGTCAATCTCGTCCTTGACGAAGAAGTAACGGAGTGCGATGTGTTTCGTGCGGTTCACGAAGCCGATATTGATCGCGCTCTGGTTGTCGCAGAGTAACGTGAAGTGCCCGTTCATCGTCACTTTCGCTTCCTGCAGGAGCTCCATCAGGTACAGTCCTTCGCGAACAGCTGCGCTGGCGGCGATGAACTCGGCTTCGGCTGACGAAAGTGCAATGAGCTCCTGCTTCTGGGAGTTCCAAGAGATGAGTCCAGCAGGTTGGAGTTGAAAGATGAATCCTGTGCGGGAGCGTCTGTTGTCAATGTCTCCTGCGTGGTCTGCGTCAACGTAGCCGTGAAGCTGTAGAGTAGCGGTGAGGTTAGCTTCGTAGGTGAGTCCGACGTCAGGAGTAGAGACGAAGTATTGGAGTGCTCGGCGTAGATCCAGTAGATTCTCCCCTTCAGGTCGCTTCAGGTACTGTGCGAGCTGGCTTGCGACGTAGGAGAGATCGGGCCGGCATGTGACGGCGGCGAACAGGAGACACCCCAACTGCTGCTGATAGAGCCGATGATTGTCGATGGAGAGCGGCGTGGTATCCGGTTCGTGATTAGGAGGAGGAGTGCGGGAAGGAGTGGTGAGATTGATCGGCGCGACAACGAATTTCTTTGCGAGTGTTTCCGCATACTTGGCGGCGGAAAGGTGAATGGAGGTGGCGGACTGAGTGATGTTGAGGCCCAGGAACTGGGTGACGGAGTGGTTGATCGTGGAACCAGCTTCCACGTTCCGCGGCTCTTGAGTGCTGCGACTTCTGCGGCCATGGCTGCCTTCCATTTCTCACTGTCGGGGCCAGACAAGGCCTGGCGAACGGTGGTGGGTTCCTTGGGAGAGGTGTGGCGAACAGCTACGGCGAGCCCAAGGATGCGGAGACCAGTTTCGTTGGTCTTCTCGTAGTGAAGGCGATCGTAGTAGTGGAAGCTGGTTACTTCGACGACATCGTCGTCGCTGTCGTTGCCGAGGCGGAGAGTGTCTTGCGAGGTGTTTGGAGGTGGTAACTCGGCATCAGGTGATCGGCGCGCTGCACTGTTGTAGTTGTGGGCTTCGTGAGTTGTATCGTCGGGATCGAATTGGTGTACAGGTATGAATGTTGGAGTCTGGAATGGGCTTGTAAGGGGGATGTTGGGTGCACTGTCAAATTGGGTGACATCTGCTACATCAGCATCTTCTGCCAGGTCAGCTTCATCGTGTGGAGTTGCGAAGCTGCGATGGCCCTCGAAAACCCTTTCCGGTGCTTTGTCAGCTTCGCGGTGCTCCTTGAACAGTGGCAGAGTCAGCTTCTCGTAGAAGATGCAGTCACGTGATTTTGGGACTTCGTGTGTCGCGTAGTCCAGCACGATCCACGCCTTGTATTCCTTTTCGATTCCGAGGTGGATGCCCCAGCGTGCTCGGTCAGCAAAATTTCCGGTCCTTGCTGTGTGTGGCCTGTACTGTACCATGCAGCCGAACACCCGAAGCAGACGCGTGTCTGCCTTTCTGCCCGTCCAAGCCCTGTAGGGAGAGTTGTTGTTCTCGAGGCTTCGGGACGACAGCAAGTTGTGCAGCCGGACATCGTGGTTCATCGCGAACGACCAGTATTTGGTTGGCACGGCTGACTGTTTCATCAGGGCCCTCATTCTTGTGGCGAGGCTCCTGTTTGTCCGTTCACCTTGCTGCTCGTGAGCGTAGGGCAGGGACACCAGGTGCTCAATCCCCTTCTGCTTGAAGAGTTCCTTGAACTCAGTTGTGAAGAACTCCAAACCCCCGTCTGTCTGGTAGGTTTTCAGCTTCAGTCCAGACTGACGTTCAGCCGGCTTCATCCATGCTACGAAGCACTCGAAGGCGAGAGAGCGGCAGTCGGTGTTGACGGCCCAGACGTAGCGTCTGCATGCATCGATGAAGGTGAGCGTGTAGGACTCGCCG